GAACATACATTGTTCTTCATCAGGGGATGGAAAAGATCACACCTCCCGCTAATCTCACTGACTTTGGAACTGAAAAGCAGAACAGTTGCAGCCAGAGATGTACAGGGAAGTATGTATGTTTATTCTGGCTGCATAAACAAATACCTACGTTCATCAACCATGCATGTAGTTCTACTATTAAATATATATAATTCCCATTAATGCTATACTGAAACTATTTTAAACTACCTAATCACATCTTCCTGAAAAATCTTTGCTGCTATTTGTTAGCACAAAGATGGGACTTATATATGCTAAATCTGTCTAGATAGTCCAGAATAAGAAAAAAAGAAAGCAGTAAGCACTTCTTTAATTTTTCCCTTCTCAAGATAAGAGTTGTCTACCTAGCTAGACACTGTAAAGTGATTTAATCTGCTTCACAAGTTTTCTATGAAATAAAGAAGTTTCTTTTAGGACTTAGTCTTACCTACCTACATCCTCTCTGTGCTCAATCTTATACGTTTGCCTTAAAAATAAAAGGCAGAAAAACCAAGCAGAATCACCACTGTTTATAACTAGAAGCTCCATATTTTCATTGTTAAAAGTGCTATATTATTGGTGTTACGCTAAAAGAAGTAGATTTGTTTTGCTGTTTTAAGTCCCCTGATCCTTCCATTAAAGTTCCACAAGTGTTTTTGGTAATTACTGGGCACTGATCAAGTGATATCCACCAAATGACAACTAGCAAGAGCATCAGAATTAAAGAGCAGCTGGAAAGCTGGAAATCCTTGGAGGAGTTCCTGCAATGAGCACTGCTGGTACTCTCTGCTTTCACAGCTTTGCTTGTGCCACGCACCCTGCAACATTTTTCCAGCCTCTAAAAGTGCAAGACTCCACAGGAAGTTTTAATTCCTGTCGTTTCTAATGCACTGTACTTGACTGAATTCCTTGACCGGCTGTGCACACAAAGACAGCACTTAGACATGTCTGGTTAACAAACGCCTTGTCTGGTTAACAAACGCCTTATCACTTGGAGATCTGTATTTCCCTCATCACCAAGTACTTACTAATTACTGTCATGTGGAAGACTAATATTTTGCATAGCACAGGAGATGAAGGGAAAAAAATAATCTTTCTGTGTTTTACCTAGCAATGAAAACACAGAAATCCATTGTAGCCCAGCTATGGGATTTTAATGCACTGGCAGCCTAAAGGGTATCATGATCCTTGTCTATGCATGCGAAGCAGGCTGCTGTGCAAATTGAAGAGCTGACACACTGTAGCTTGGGGCTTTAGCAGTCTATACATCTGTTGGATCAGCACAGAGGTAAAACCACACACTTTGAAGCACATGACATTGTTAATCCAAAGGCAACAATTTTGATTTTCTGTGTAGGTAGGTACAGTTTTCTATAAGCTGTAACTCTGTAACTGAGACTAATATTAGAAATGTTAGGTGCAGTATCAAAATGAAAGCCATTTCTTTTGACTACCACAATTAAGACTTACTATATCAGCTCTGCAGTGAATTTCTTTCCTTTTTGTTAATGCACCATCAATCACTCAACCAATAAAACCACAAGCATTCCATTGCAAACAGGAAAATGTATTAATGAGATCTGAATACTAAAAAATTTAAAATAGTTCTTTGCCAGCTTACATACTAATCATTCTCACAAATTTCATATGTGATATTACTATTAGAATTGAAGAAGGTGGTTGTTTTTTTAGTCTATCCAATAAACTTCAACATGGCAGAAACTGCCAAAGAGATTATTTATATATATATATGTATATATATAAGGTAACTGAGATAAAACCCATATGTTTTAATCACTGGAATTTATGAATGTACGAGCAGTAGCAGTGGATGCATTTCTCTGGATGCTTATGTGATTCAATACTCTAAATCCAAGTATTTCTGGAAGAAGGAAATATAAGCTTGCAATTTGTGTAACTGATGTCCCTTAAAGGATTCAGTCCTAGACTCCTACCCATTCTGGACTCTGTTGAGGACTAGAGACCTATGCTCTGTGACAGAAAATTAGGCCTTCAGAACCATAATAAATTGACCATCATCCAATCCTGTCAAGACACACACCCTTCAAGCTTCACAGAAACACACTACATCAGGGTATCCTATAAAAACAAAGTACAGAGAAAAGAAACTAATTCTTCCTGATTTAAGCCATATTTAAAGGTAGGGATGAATGTCTTCCATCATTGTTGACCTAAAAAAGGGAAAAAAAAAAAAAAAGCAAAGACTCACTTCTCTCCTAAAACAACCAGTTTTCAATCATTCCATCAGTTTCTATCTTTTTGATGCCTCTTCACATTTTGCTGTGAATAGCTGCTGCCTATGTCAATCTATGAAAGTTCTCACTTAATTTTTGACACAAGTCACTACATTAAATTATTCCAGAAAAATAAAATCCACAGCCAAAATCTGAGCTTCTCTAATCTTGACGTTTCTGTGTATTGCTTTGGGAAAATAGAGTTTGTTTATACAAAGGAAGAAAATTCTATGTACATTCTTACAAAATATAAAACAGGGGTTCCTACAAGTAAGGTCGCTTTATGAGCTGTAAAATAGAGAAGTACATCCCTATAACGCTTCCTATTCCTTTTAATATTTGGTATTAATACAGGAAGATTTTAGGTCCCTTTTTATCTTGAGGGTTCAAACATACCTGCTTTTTCTATCTTACGCAAGAAATACTCCCACATACCTTATTCATACTTGGAAAAAAATAGACATACTAGTAAACCTATACTTGTTTATATTTCACAAAACATGTTCACAGATTACATACTAATTTATGCAATCTCAGTTACCTATCTTGATGTGGACAAGGGCAATGGAACTTAAAGAAATCTGGTCAGGGCTATATCATTCATTTCAGTCTGAGACTTGCCCTTTTCTGATCAATGTAAGGTTGCTTACCATCACATGCCAATGTTCACCCACCTGCAGAGTCTCATGTATGGTGACCAGAACTGTTGAACTTGGCAGTATTTGTACACACTCCAGTGGGAGTATAAAGGAAGTTTTAAGATTCTCAAAGATCTTCCCAAACATTATGAGCCTAAATACAGTAGATTTTTGAGGAAAATAATGTTCTTATTGAACAACAGAATTTAAGCACTTTCATAAAAGTTCCTGCAAGCTTCTAGTTCAATAACCAAATGCTGCTGAATTTAGGCTCAGAATAATGGTAAAAGATAATATGTTACAGAAATTGCTCACATTTTATAGCATAGTCTTGTATCAATATTCCATTTTGAAAATATACCCTTAATGCTATTTTAGCTGGTTCCAGATACCTTCAGGTTACAGTGGCTTCTCCAACCCTGGAGGAAGCATCACAGAAAACTTTTCATTTGTCTCCTGTCAGACTGTCAGCACTTCATCTATAACGAACCTGTAAAACAAAAAAGGAAAAGGAACTGGGGTTGGAGTAGGTTTCCTATTGCTGTGCATTTTTTCCCTTTTTTAGCCATAGCACTCCTGTCTCATGCAGCTTTTATCAGTTTAGCACAAAAGAATTTTCCGAATCTTTGACTGAACACAAAATGAGCAGCAAATCCTGCTTCCTAAGAGCTGAGAAATCATGAATAACCATTCAGAAAAGCTTGAAGTCACTCACCTGCCTGCCAGACCTGCATCTGGAAGCACATTCTTCTGGTGGCTCCTGTCCTCCCTTGGTGAAAGACTCCACGGGAAGGGGCAGACAAACTGCTTGTGTCCTTCTGCCACACAATTTCTTCAACTGCTTCCTATGGCTCCTGGTTCCCATGGATTGATTCTGGCTCCAGAGAGCCTGCTCTCCAGCAGCAGGGAGGCAGTCCAACAGAGCATGGTACAACAGGCAGCCCCTGCAGTACCCTCCTAGGCATCCTAAGTATGTTCTTTTGCTTTTCGGGTCAAAATAATTGCAGGGCAGGTTTAAAGTGGTTTTAATTAATTCCATGGTCTAAAATATGCCAGAAATCCTCAAATTACAAAGCACTGTACTACTGCCTTTATAACACACAAAACACACTCCCACTCACTCTTGCTACCGGCACTCTCCTCGATGGGGACCTTTGTCATCAAGGCGCTGCTTCAGCCTGTGCCAGGAAGGTGTTTTCACCCTCGCCTGGAAGCGTTCCCAGACATCCTCCGTGCCCCTCTGCAGCTTCCCCCCGGCCGGCTCCGCGCAAACCTGCCCGGCGGCCGCATCCGCGGCCCCTCCGCGGCAGCACCCGCACCCCGCGGCGAGAGGCGGCAGCAACCAGGAGTGCCGGGAAGGGCCGGGCCGCTACCCGCGGCCAAGCGCCCCCCTGGGCGCCGCCACCTCCCGCCGGGGCGGGCCCGGCCGAGCAGAGACGGTCCGAGGGGGAAACAACATCCACGAGATGCGGAGAGAGGAGAGCAGCCGACTCACCTGAGCTGTCGCTCCCGCGCACAGGACTGGAGAGCAGAAAGGCGCCTGCGAACAGACAGGGAAGGGGTCGAGGCGCTGCTCCGCGCCCGCCCCGCCGGCCCCCAGCCGCTTCCCACCATACCCACCGAGGAGCAGGGGGAGCCACATGGCGGCGGGGCGCGCCCGCACCGCGGGACACCGCAGAGCTACGGCGAGGAGAGCAGCGGAGAGCAGCGGAGAGCAGCGGAGAGCAGCGGAGAGCAGCGTGCCGGCCGGGTCACCGCACCGCGGGCTGCCGTGCCCTGTGCGCTGTCCCGCACCTCCGCCGAGCGGTACCGCCACCGGCAGCCGCGGCTCCCACTTTAAACCTCGGCGGGCGCATGAGCACTGGGGCGGGCGAGGGTGGTCGGGGAGGGCGGGAAGGAGGGAGCGGGCACACGGGGCTGGGCAGCGTCGCCGCCAGGCCCGGCAGGTGCTGCTGTCCCTCCCCCGCCGCGCCCCCGCCGACTCCTCCCGCCGGGATCGGCGGCTCAGCGCTTCCCTAAGCAGTCGGGTCCCGTAATTCGCCCGCTCCGGCAGCGGAGGCGCGCGGACGTTCCCGTGCCCGGCGAAGCACCTTTGCAGTTTGCCTTCCTGGCTCTGCCCGAGCACCCCTCGATATCCCCTCCACCCACAGTTCTCCAACACCTCATGTCAGGTATCTTTACTCCAGATATCTTGGGAAATGCGAGCCAGCTATCAGCTGCTTCGCCACAACATCGGTCCCTTCCTCGAAGCTGAGCGAAGGGGCAAAGCTGTCCCGAGCACTGCGAGGTGTTGCCGAGGGCGGGACGGCCGCTCCTCCCGAGCCGCGCACCCCAGGGCCCGCCGGCCGCGGCCGCAGTCGTGCTGGGCCCTTACGCCGTCCCTCTCGGCACTGCGGAGGGGAGTACTGGGGGATTGAAGCCTGACTAAATCATTCGAAGAGAGGGAAATACCGGATCCGGCCTTTCGGGTATCGTTTGTGTTTGCGCAAATATTGCAGGTGCCTTTCGTTTAAGTAAAATTTTGTTTAAAGTAAAGAAAAAAAAGGCAAAACCAAAACCACCACAACGCCCCGAAAACCAACCAAACGAAAACCAAACCAAACCCTCCAGTTCAGAGCCTCCTCCGTTTCCGCAGCTCAATGCACCCACGCATATGTGGCGTGAAGTACCGGCTGGCATTGATGTGCACTGGGCAGGTCACTTGGGAATGGTGGGCAGAGGTGCTGGAATTTCAACGAATGCCTTAAAATTGCTCTCTGTACCGTCCGCCAGCATCCGCTGTTTAATTTCTACTGGGACGGCTGTTCCCAGAAAAGAACTTTTAAATATAAATAAGCTTTCAGACCTCATAGGAATTATGATTTGCCGGGGCAGAAAATTAAGTGAGGGTGGGTGTTGAAACCAGCTCTGGGAGCTGTCGTCTTTGGGAGGGAGGCTGCTGGTCAGGGCAAATCGCTTTAGGGTTTTTTGGTTTGTTTTGGTTTCTTTTCTTTTTTTAACAGGTCGCATAAAAATGCGCTTTGTGGAGTATCTCTTCGCATGATTGAAAATAAATATATTTGAGAACTCTGCGATCCCTTCAGAGATATGTCGCCTGTAAGAAAAAAATAGGAAGCATGACTGGGTAAGTTATTCGTAATTTATTCGTAATTTATTGCTTTTCCGGAGTTTAATTCAAGCAAAGAACAGAAGCGGTGAGAACACGATACTCCTTTCCCTCATAGCTTTGATCGTCCCAGAAACACATTTTTATGCCTCCCACACAGGATAAAGGTGGCGATGCTTCCCTCATGACATGGTCTTCTCCTACGGGAGCATCATCTCAAATGCGAAATTATTCAAGGCGGATGATGCAGATGTCAGGAAGTTCTGCTGGCATTTCTTTCAGCTTCTCCGAATCCCGAGATTTTGTCAAGGAATTCCTGCTCGTCAGCAGGCTCCTTCCTCAGCTAGAGGTGCCCTCGAGTGAGTCGGTCACCTTTCGCCTTAGGCGGTCAATTAAAGAGCTGGCAATGGCCGCCAAAAGCTGTGTCCCTGAGCTGGCCTCCGCTACGGTGTCTCCCGCAGGTGCAGAGGCTACCCTGAATGATTTCTGTGGCAATCCCCGTTCCTTAGGGATTCGATTTTCTTAGAGCTGAGGTAGTTAGAAGGGACACTTGCTCAATTTTTATTTTTTAAAGAAAAAATTTTGGGAGCCAGACAGCGCCCAGGAGAGGATGCCATCCGTGGGGCCTCTCGCCTTCCTGCAAGCCACCTGTGGCAAATGGGTGACGTTCCCGCTCCCTTCCCGATGCCTGCGCCCGCCCCGCAGCTCCTGCCGCCGGCTCCCCTCGCCGTCCCCGCTCCTGCCCGGAGTACGGAGGCGGCAGAAAACCGAAGCTCAAGCCCAGCTGGGACGGGGGAGGAGGTGTTGGCTGGTCCCGGGCTAATGTCTCAACTTCTCTGGTGGCAAGAGCAAACTGCTTCGCAGAGAAACTGTTGTCACACGGGCTGAGGTGTTTGCGGCAGTGAAATGTCCCGGGAATGCCTTCCTCTGGAGGCCGAGGGACAGGCACGAAGAACAGGGAGAGGCATTCCATTTATCCTGGGAAATACGGGAAATGCCTGAACCGAGGGACACTGGCTGCCCCGCCACACAGCCTCACAGTAACCTCTCTGTCCTTTGCGTAAAGAAAGGCTTTGTGCAAAGATCAAAAAGGACAGAAGAAAGCACTACTTAAACTTTCAGCCCTATATTCCACTTGGAGAGGGCCCTATGACTTGCAGTTCACTCTCTGGGAAAATACACTCACTCATCCTCATTGCAGTACTCCTTTACCTCCTCTTGACATTTTTCTTTCCTCTGATTCCCTTCATCATCATCATCATGAGCTCAAATGACTCCCTGCATTGACACCTGTACCAGCACAGTGCCACAGCTCAGCTGGGCTGAGTTAAGGTCGTTCTCCATCACCCATAATCAGTTTGGTGTGTATGTCCTGTTTTATTTACTTAGGAGATGAAAACCACTCCGGTTCAAAATGAATGTTTAGATATGTTATACACAATACCAGATGAATCTTCTAAAATACAAATTTTGCGTGTTTGCTCTGGCTCCTGCACAGCCTGGGCCTCCCAGTTCCAGTGCAAGGGCTGCTAAAATGATGAGTTCTTCCATTTTGGCATTTCCAGAGCGAGGGAATTGCATCTGGTTCTGCAGAATAGCAGGAATCTTAGCTGTGTGATTGAATGATCTCTAAACATAGAAAATCAGCCAGTGAATTTCACTCTGTATTTAGTGATCAGTTGGTCTGTTTGAAAAATAAAAGCATCAGTAACAGAAACTAGATATAAATAATGTCAGAACTGGTTTAAATATGAACTATACCCAACTTCTTGAAAGAGAACTTACTGCAATGAAAACTTTGTTGTAGTCTAGATTTGACTAATAATAGAAAAATATTTTTCTGGGCATTTTCTAAATAAAAATCTTAATTTCTAATTTGATAATCAGACAACAGGCTTTTGTTAGCAAGTCCTCATGGACTTAGTGCCATGGTCTAGTAACCAGAGCAGTGTTGGATCAAGGGTTGGACTTGATGATCTCAGAGGTCTTTTCCAACCCAGTTGATTCTATGATTCTATGATTCTATGGCTGTCAGTGTTTTGGAGGCATTTGGGCAGTGTCCTGAATAACTTACTTTAGCTTTTGGTCAGCCCTGAAGTGGTCAGGCAGCTGGACTAGAGGATTGTTGTAGGTCACCTCCAGCTGAACTATTCTGTGATGTTCCCCCTGGAAGCCTTAGAAAAATCCAGGTTCAATTTTCTCTGTGTATTAATCTGACTCCCCAGATCTTTGTCAGTGCCCACTGGCCGTGCCTGACACACAGGTTGGTCTGGCTCAGCACCCATGGCATGGTTTTGCTCATCAATGGAGCATCTGCTCACCTCCAGGGGTGTGTTGCTATCTTCCACGTCCATTGTCTTGTCCTTCCTCCATGGGCTGCGCTCAAATCCTTTGGGAACCCTTTGGGAACAGCGTGGCTTGGTACTGCCCGCTCTGGTTAAACCCACTGCTCCAAGATTAGGCTCCTCAGCACTGGCTGGGTGCCTGCACGTTTGCAACATCCTCCAGGAAAGACTCAGCTGCTGGGATTTGGAATCAACACTCCCTCCCCCAAGCGTGGCTGTGCCGAGCTCCTGCGGGTGCCCGGGGGCTGAGCTGGGCTTTGGGCAATCCAGGCATCCCAGGAGGGTGTCCTGAGCACTCAGCATCCCTGAGGAGGGAAGGCTGCTCAGGAGCAGCTCCCAATCCGTTGTTTTTGTGTGTCTGGCATTTAGGATTGGCTTAATTACCACAGCCTGCAGAGCAGCGTTCAGTGGCTGCAGTTGTTCTCTTCTCCAGATTCTCTTGATTCTTTTTTTTTTTTTTTTTAAATTGTAGGAATGAATAATTGTTTGCAAACCTGGTTGCTGCTCTATCTCTATAATTTGCATCTCGATGTAATTAAAAGAATACATTAACAACTGCCTGACTTGCCATGACACCCAGGATTTTAATAATTCATGGCTAGAACGGAATCTTTACGCTGAACCCGAGGGGAAGTTAACAACAAATAGTCTGTCAGGTGTCAAGTCCTTGCTCTCTCCTAATAAGTTTTGGTCTTGCAGATCAAAAGTAGCCTGCCAGAGCTCCAGGGATGTTTGGACAACGCTCTGAGGCACATGGTGGGATTTTGGGATTGTCCTGTGCAGGGCCAGGAGTTGGACTTGGTGATCCTTGTGGGATCAGGTTTGGCCCTCAGTGTATTTGGAGTCAAGCACAGGCTCAAAGCTATTGCAGGAGCAGAGGAGTGTGTGGGTGCTGTGGCTGCCCAAGCCTGGTTGTCAATGAAAATAGTTTTAAATATTCTCAGTTACATTTTAATATTCATTTTAATAGTAGTAGTTTTGGTTGTAAGAGGTGATTTTGTCTCCCATGTCAGCATAGCTGCTGCCTGCCTGATAAGCTTAAAATTAGCTGTGATAAATATGTATTGTGTTGGGTTGTACAAAGCATACATGGTTTGGGGTTTTTTTTTTTTTTTTTTTTTTTTTTTTTTTTTTTTTTTTTTTTTTTTAAATTTATTTTATTCCAGGATTTGTGGTAACACAGTGGGGGAAGGATAAGGTCTGGGTGGACAGAGGGTTCTTCTGATTGATGGGGGTCCCGGCCAGGCTGGGGCCTTGTAAGGTACCTCAGCCCTGGACAGGTACGGGGGCCAGAACGGTTGGTCAGTTTGTTTGTTTGTTTGTTTGTTTGTTTGTTTGTTTGTTTGTCTATTTATTTCTTTCGTTTTGGCTCTCCTGCGGCTACTGCCCAGGTTTGGCATGTTCTGGATATATTTGCTTTGCTCTGTTACAACCTGAAAGAGTGGGCAGGACAAAGGGTTGTTACTGGAAATAAAAGACTTGCCCAAATCGTTCTAACAGGAACATAGCCTATGTACCCCTGTGTGGTTGCGAGCTATGCTGGCGAGGGTTCATGCCTTCGGTAGGGTCGCCCATGCCAGACAGGTCAAAACCATAGGACCAGATAAACTACATCCCTGGGCAGGATGAGCTCATTAGCCTTCTGGCAGTCATCCTAGGAGAAGGACAACTCTCATCCCAAACCCGGGCAGATGGAGCTCGCTTAGCCCTGGAAGGCCATCCATCTCAGAGAAGGTCACTCTAATCAAACCTACGTCCTGAGGACCTCGCTGCCACCGTCCAAGCTTGCTCGGCCCTGGCAGATGAACCTCAGGATTAAAGGGTGGGTTCAGTTCCGCGCATACTGCATCTCACCTAAAAAATCCATTGCGCAGGCTTGAAGGCTTTACCCACATGCAAAAAGTCCTGTAGCGACGGGCGAGGGTCGAAACGGTAGGTGAAAGATGCACTGGGAGCCGCAGACTCAACCCTGCATACAGGCGGTTCAGGATATTGGTCATTTGAGACTGACGGAGATGAGAGTCTCTTGGGGCAGCACCCTGAACGACCAAGCAGCCTTTTCAAGGACAGCACTGCTTGCTCCACTCGGAGAGGGGCCTAGAAAAGGTGGCCTAAACAAAGCTCATCTCCACCTTCACCCGGTTGGTTAACCGCAGACCGACGGGCATCTTCTTCCAATGCGGTCGCACAAAGAGCAAAAGTCAAAGGCATGCACCTGCCTCCAAAGGTGTACTCAAATTAAATCTAGCATGTTGGAACATCAGAACCATGCTCGATTCTGCCAATAGTGGTCGTCCTGAGCGACGTTCTGCCCTAATTGCCCATGAACTGGGTCGTCTCAACATCGACATTGCTGCTCTCAGTGAAGTTCGCCTTCACGAGGAAGGCAGCCTCAGAGAACATGGTGCCGGTTACACACTCTTCTGGTCAGGTAAGCCCAGAACCGAAAAACATCTCTCAGGTGTCGGCTTCATGATCAAAAACTCCATTGTCCCTAAACTCGAAAATCTGCCGACAGGTCACTCTGACCGCATTATCTCCCTACGCCTTCCACTAAACAACAAGCAACACGTTGTCATCTTCAGTATATATGCCCCAACTCTCCAAGCTGACCCTGCTGAAAAAGATAAATTTTACACTGACCTGCGCTGTCTTACCCAAAAGGTGCCCGCAGATGATAAGATCATTATCCTTGGTGATTTCAACGCCAGAGTAGGTAAGAATTTTGAAGCCTGGAAAGGAGTATTAGGCAAGCATGGTGTTGGAAACTGCAACGATAATGGTCGACTTCTGCTAGAATTCTGTGCGGAGCAACAGTTCACCATCACCAATACTATCTTTCAGCAGAAAAATAGTCTGAAGACAACCTGGATGCACCCCAGGTCTAAGCATTGGCAC